GATTTCCAGGCTTCTCTTTGACTGCACAGATTTTCTGTTCATCAGCAGCCATCATATTATTTTTCACACAGCCAGAAAAGGGCTGACCCCTTCCTTTGAACCTTCCCCTTACTACCTATGCGTGTTAGCCCTGTGAGCTCCTTGAGGCAGGGATGATGGCCTAGGTGTTTAGCAAAAGTCTTGGATGCATAGCCCCCCCCCCACATTTATGGAATGAATGAGTCAGTCAGGGACTGAATAATGGAGGTGACTAATAACATGACCAAGAACTCAAACTCTGGAATGTAGGGACCTGAATTCCAATGGGAATATCAATACTTTTTTTTTTTTTGAGACAGGGCCTCACTGTAGTTTAGGCTGGGCTTTAACTCACTGTGTAGCACAGGTTGGCTGCAAACTCATGATGATCCTCCTGCCTCCTAAATCCTGGGATTACAGGCATGGGGACACCATGCCCAGTTATCAGTACTTTTTTGTTGATGGACTGGGGATTGAACCTTGGGCCTTTGCACAGAGCTATTTCTCCAAACAGTTCTTCTGGTTTTTTTTCTTTTGAGACAAGATTTCCTTAAATCTGTAAGCTACCAAGGCTGAGCCTGAACTTCTAGTCCTCCCCCACCCTCTCAGAGTACTGAGATTAAAGATATAATGGAAATAGGCCAATTTACCAATGTGTCTGCCACTGCATTTAGCCTCCTTTTGCCTTCTTCAGCTTTATTCATCAGTAAAATGAGGACTTAATACATTGGGATAGGCATGTAGGGGAGGGTTAGTTTCAAATTTATTTATTTATGAGACAGGGTCTTGTTATGTAGTTTAGGTTGGCCTTGAACTCTCAGTGATCCTCCAGCCTCCCCAGTGTTGGGATTATAGGAGTGGACCATCCAGGGTGCCTGCTGATTAGTTTATCAGTGGTGGCAACCTTGATCACCAATGGAATGTTTGTAACATTGAAAGCTCTAAAAGGTTCAGCATCACTGGTTTACATAATGCATTTAAGGGCCGGGGACTTAGCTCAGTGGTGCGTCACCTGCCTTGCAAGTACAAGGTCCTGAGTTTGATCCCTGGTACAAAAAAAACCAAACCAAAAAAACGTAATTCATTTAAAAATGCAGTGCACAGGTTTAAGACCCTGAGAGCAGGAGTTGGGTCCTGCTTGTTCATCACTGGATCCCAGGTACCCAGCACAGTACAAAGCAGGCACGTACACATTTTATTGACCAAGTGAGTGAATTTTATATAACAAAAGTTGTTTAGGATGCCAGTTTGTAAGAACAACAACTGATGTGCCACTTTGTGTAGTAATCATTGTGTAGCCTTCTGTTTTGTTTGTTGATGGTGTTGGGTATGAAATCAGAGCCCCGCTGTGTGTGGTATGCCTGTAATCCCAGCACTTTGGAGGCTGAGGCAGAGGATTACAGTGAGTTCAAGGCCAGCCTGGGCTACATAGCAAGACCCTGTATCACAAAGAGAAGAAACAGACAAACAAAAACAAAGCAACAGAGGAAACCAGAGCTAGGGTCTGTGTGAAGCACTAGAATTCCCAGCTTTCCATGCCCCTCTCTACACTCACCGTGGGCATCTCCAGACAGGCTCCACATCTGTCTCATCCTGTCCTTGGTCATCAGCCCTGTGTTTGGCAGAGATGAAGTTTTAAAAATTCTGTTGAGGGCCGGGGATTTAGCTCAGTGGTTCCGGCACCTGCTTTGCAAGCACAAGGTCCCAAGTTTGATCTCCGGTACTGAAAAAAAAAGAAGTTTAAAAATTCTGTTGAACAGTTAAAATTGTTTGAAACTGCACCATACTTTACAGTTTATAAAACAGTTTTATACCTACTATATCTATTGTATCTAGTGTTATTAGGCTTTTCCCACAAAACATTCCTGTTTTTTGTTTTTGATTTTTCCAGTTCTGGAGATAGAAGCCAGGACATTTGGACTGATCTCCATAACCAGCGTTCATATTTTTACTGTGAAACAGGTTGGCATTAATTTGCCAGGCCTAGGATTGATGTGATCTTCCTGACTCAGCCTCACCAAGCACTGAGATTACAAGCATGGACAACCATGACTGGCAACATTCCTTTTTTTTTTTTTTGGTACCAGGGATCAAACTGGGGAGCTTGTGCTTACAAGGCAGGCGCCGAATCAACTGAGCTAAATCCCTGGCCCCTAACATTCCTATTTTTATTTAAGCCTCTTATATTTTGAAAATATCCATCCAATTCCATTTTTCTTTTCTTTTTTTAAAGTTTTGAGTCAGGGTCTTACTATGTAGTTAAGGCTTATCTCGAACTCACTATGTAGCCCAGGCTGGCCTCAAACTTTCAGCAATGCTCAATGCCTTGGCCTCCCAAGTGCTGGGATTACAGGCGTGTGCCACCACGCCCAGCCCAATTCCATTCTTCAAATAATCTATGGGTTAGCTACTGGTAATCAGAGTTGATGATGATATAGGATTTGAATCTTGTCCTCAATTCATAGCACAATATATGGAGACCCAGTAAGTACCCAAGAAGTACTTTCTGAATAAATACATATGCTGTGTTTTTAATCCTTCTGAAATGTAGAAAATGCTCCCTCACTTTTTTTTATCTTTTACTGTATCATAAATCTAAGAATCTGCGAGTAGGGCCTCCTGATTTAACAACTCTGTATCCCCAGCTTATTGATGAGGAAATAGAGGTACAGGGAGGGCAAAAGGCTTGCCAGAGGCCTCAGACTTTGAAAATATTATTACTGTGACTTCCACAGCAGCTTCCACTGGTAAGATTCCATGATCTAAATGACAATGTTAAAATGCTCCAATGAGTGTTCTGGTACCAAACTGAGATATTTTTCCTCCTTAAAATGCCCATGTGCTCTGCCATATAGTGTAAGTATAAACTGAAGCCAATATCTCAGGCCCCAAGTCTTGTTCCTGGTTATTGTCTGGATGAAAATAAATCAGGAGCCTCCCGGAGGTGGTGCTGTTGGTTCACCTTGAGCTTGTGCCCCCAGGTATCTAGCGTTGTGGAGCTGAATGTGGGAGGCCAGGTCTTCACCACCACCACGGACACCCTGAGGAAAGTCCCAGGCTCTAGACTGGCAGAGATGTTCTCCAGCTCAGCCTCGGCCTGCAAGGATGCTGAAGGCCGCTTCTTCATTGACCACCCTGGCACCTTTTTCCATCCCATCCTGGACTACCTGCGCAGTGGCCAGGTGCCCATACAGCACATCCCCAAGGTATATCGGGAGGCTCAGTTCTATGCCATCCAGCCTTTGGTCAAGCTCTTGGAGGACATGCCTCAGATCTTTGGTGAGCAGGTATCCCGGAAGCAGTTTTTGCTGCAAGTGCCAAGCTACAGTGAGAACCTGGAGCTCCTGCTACTCCTGTCCCGGGCAGAGGCTGTGGGGAGGCGTACCTCGGAGGTGGTGGTGTGTGTGGTGTCCAGTGAGGAGCAGGCGGCACAGTGTGCAGAGCTTATATATTATCTGGCATCCAAAAAGATACCAGTTGTCAAGTTCGGGCCCTGTAAGTTAGGTTGTGACAGGAAGGACCTTCTGCGGTGCCTGGAGATAGACATTAAGGCCCGGGGGTACCAGGTATCCTGTGGTACCTACAATGATGTTTCCTTCAAGCACCTGTACCCTCATCTGTACCAACAATATTTTTGCTACCAGGTTGAGAGTCCCTTCTGTGTGTTCACCTTCATATGGTGGTGACCCCCATGGGCTGGGATTGTTTATTGTGGGTTCTTGGGGGCCATGAAATTAAAAGAAACACAACTTTTGATGATACCTTTTATTTCAAAAACAAATATCAACTCTCAAAGTTGGTGTAGAGGTTTGCCTCAAGTATTTATGCATCCTTGGGCTGGGGATTTAGCTCAGTGGTTTTGCTGTCTGCTATGCAAGCACAAGGACCTGAGTTCGATCCCCAGTACAAAAAAAAAAAAAAAATTGGTAATGCCTCCTCTGCCACAACTTTCCCCCCATTGCAAAGGACTCCATTGTACTTGCAGGCTGCCCCCAGCTGCTCTCTTTTCAAAGCTTCATGTACTTGCCAGCCCCTTCTGTTGAAGTCCATAGCATGGCTAAGATCAAGTAGAAGGTTTCAATAATGCTTTGACAGTGGATGCAGAAGACAGCAGGAGGATACAGAATATAGTACTGTGAATCTAGATCATCTCCCTTCAAGATGTAGTCTACCTTGCCTCCCTGCTGCTGGTTGTTGATCCTGCCAGTGTGTGCCTTCATGAGTCAGACGCTAAGTGAGTTCCTGTGTTTCCCACATTCCCTTTAACAGAAACTGTGGAAGCCCCAGAGCTATCTCCTACTAGAGCAGTAGTGGTTGTCCAAATTAGGCATCATCAGCATCCTGTGGGAACTTGGTAGTAATACCCGTTGTTTGTTTTTTGCTGTACTGAGGGTTGAACCCAGAGCTTCCACACTAAGGTACATTCTCAGTCCTTCACAGTTTTTATTTTATTTTTTTCTGTAAAATTTATTTATTTGGATATAGCTTTTATTTTGAGACAATGTCTTGCTAAGTTTCTCAAGCTGGGATGGAAATTGTGATCCTCTTGGCCTCAGCCTTCCTCAGTGCTTGGGTTACAGGTATGTGCTGCCACACCTAGCTTTATTTATTTGCATTTACTTATTGTACTGAGGATTATAACCAGTGCCTTCACACTGAGCTTTATCCCCATGCCCCCAACACTTTTTTTTTTTTTTTGAGACAGGGTCTCCCTATGCAGTTCAGGCTGGGTTTTGAACTCACTATGTAACCCAGGCTGGCCTCAAACTTGCGGCAGTCCTTCTGCCTCAGCCTCCTGAGTGGTGAGATTACAGCCATGCAGCTCCACACCTGGCTCCCCAACACTATCTTAAAAATACTTTTTTTTTTTTGAGACAGGGTAATTCAGTAAGTTGCCCAGGTTGGGCAAGTTAGCAACTTATAAGACCCTGTCTCAAAAAATAAAAGAATGTCTGATTAAGGCTATCTATGAAAACCCAACAGCCAACATCATAATAAATGGTCAAAAATGGAAAACTTTCATGCTAAAATCAGGTACAAGACAAGGATGCCCACTATCACCACTGCTGTTCAATGTAGTTCTGGGGCCAGGGATTTAGCTCA